TCAAAAAATAATAATTTATATAAGTAAAGTTTTACTCGATTTTTTTATTTCTAAATATTACGAGTTTCTATACTTAAAATAAAGAAATACAAAATACTCAAAACTTTGTTAAATTTAAAGTTTTAAATAGTAGTAAATATAAATAATAATTTATCTAATGTAAAATATATATATTTTTAAAGGCTAAAAAGGTCTATCTATATTTCAGTTGTGTGAGATTTATGCTTGTTAATTGTGTGTTTGAGCGCGCATGTGCGTGTGTGCATACATTCACAACCTAGTGTCTTTCTTACTTTTCAAATAATTAATTCCACTTATGATGAGCTTTTTAGAGGAAGATAAAAAAAATGTGGAGATTGATTAACCTATGAAGCGGATAAGATCCAAACAAGTAGAGTATATCTTTTCACGGATCGAAGGAAAAAAGAGAGTTCGATCAAATATTTATTTTTAGATTCGTCCATCCAAGCCTATTGCTTCTGTAACAGCAAAAAGAAAAATTAGTTGAAATTATCTTTTAGGTGACAAATAATATAAAATATTCTTTTAGACTATCCATGTATAGAAGTTAAACGCATATGTAATGTTATTAATGTATATAAGAACTAAGCTATAAAGAACAAGTCCTAAACTAAGCTAGGTAGTTGAGCTAAGCATGATCCTATGATTAGTTGTTATGTTCCAATCTAACGTACGGAACTTGAAATATATTAATCTTTTCTATGTGCAGAATTGTTTAATAAATGGTTGAGTCGATTAAGCAAAAAGAACAGGAATGCACCAAAAATTAATTACTGGAGTAATTTTTAACCACGGAGACTAATTTCGCAGAAAGATGCATGTATATGCTAATGTAATACGAGTAGATTAAAAGAATATTAAAAACAAACCCACATTAGGTTGTGTACGATAATAGACCTGCAAATATCTTAATCAATAATTTTAGAAGATTATTTGTTGCTTAACGTCATATGTACGATAGATAAACATTAATCATATTTAAGCATGTCTTGATTAGTTGAATAATCCTGCACCGAATAATTCTGTAGTATTTTTATTTATTTGATAAGTGATAACATTTTGTTAAATATAATTTGTTTAAAAAAGTAGTTAGACTCCAAAAGTGTCCCTTCGGGTTTAAAAAAAATAAATTAAAAAGGACTCCAAAAGGCCAATACTTCGGGGCATTAGATTTCACTTAAAAGCTAACTGTTGTTAAAGATCCAAATTTGTACTTGAACCATGATAAATGACGAGGAATCTTCGTAAAGCACTACAATTTAGAGCTTAATTACCGGGCTTAACTATAGTTTGTCTAATTACTATTTGTAATTACTGTTCAATTGTTATCAACTTGCATTACTTGTATTTAGACTCTCAACAAATATAGTATGATATATTCGTTCACGCAACGAATACAACATGTATCAATAGCATTTGTTCGCACAACGAGTACAACTAAGTCAAAATATAGGGGGTTATACAAAGGATATAGCTTGTATCGACTGTATTCGTTAGCACAACGAATACAACCAAAGCGAAATACATATATAAATGCAGAAAAATAGAATGCTCTCATTGAGAGTCAAACTCAAGACTCCCGCTTACTAAACGGACGCTCTAACCAACTAGTTTAAGTTCAAAATAATTAATCTCTTGTTTATGTATTATATGTGGATTTGCTAAAAAAAATCCAAATATATCTACGAATGATGATTTTTTGATAGCATAGCTACGAATGGTGAATACATTATATTTTTGATAGCATAGCTACAAATGGTGAATACATTATATATATTTGTTGTGTCGCGTAATTTTTCCATAAATGATCTAGCTTTGACAGAAGACAACCATATTTTAGTTTCATTAATTCTGTAGTCAATGCACTTATGCACCCTAAAATCATAAATATAATATTTATGAGCTCATGCATGAGCCCATCAAAACTTTATCATAAACAAATCAATCCCAGTGATGGATACTTGAAATACATTTACTATATATCGTACCAACTATATATCATAACTAAAATAATTCAACTAAGTCAAAATACAAGGGTTTATACAAAGGATATAGCTTGTATCGACTGTATACGTTCGCACAACGAATACAATCAACGCGAAATACATATATAAATGCAGAAAAATAGAATGCTCTCATTAAAAGTCAAACTCAAGACTTCCGCTTACTAAACGGACGCTATAACCAACTAGTTTAAGTTCAAAACAATTGATCTCTTGTTTAAGTACTATATATGGATTTGCTAAAAAATCCAAATATAACTACGAATGATGATATTTTGATAGCATAACTACGAATGATGAATACATTATATATATTTGTTGTGTCGCGTAATTTTTCCATAAATGATCTAGCTGTAGTCAATCATGCATGAGCCCATCAAAACTTTATCATAAACGAATCAATCCCAGTGATGGCTACTTGAAATCCATTTACAATATATCGTACCAACTATATATCATAACTAAAATAATTCAACTTCGATTGTAGGAAGTAGTTCGCGAGTTTCAATAATGAGAAAGACGAGCTAAATTTCTCAAATTGACAGTATGCTGATAATTTCATTAATTTGAGCAATCAAACTTAGTAAATTTGTCGTAAATTGATAGCTCATATAGCTTACTTGGTCTCGATTCGAGCATTGTGAATGAAAAAATTCTTGGCAAAAAATATTTTCTCCTTAAATTGATTCTACGCGGCACGAATCTGGTATAGCCGGGTTAGTGGGTTTCAGTAACAGATGGTTACCCCCCCCCCCCCCCCCCCCCCCCCCCCCTCCCCCCAAAAAAATAGTTCGATTTTAAAAAATTCAAATAAATTTGTCTAAGTTTTAACATGAACAATAGTCACGTTTTGTTATCAATATTGCACTTTAGGTTTCTCTGTTACCTAATTTTTCACTTTTGATCCATATAGTAAACACCCCACTCAACCCCAACCCCACTTCCCAAAAAATAGAAGAAAAAATAATCATGAGTTAATGAAACACTTATATATACTGTATAACTTGAAAGAGTGGCATGAATTATTCCCCGCATGCATACTTTGAAATATTGAAGGTTTTTCTTGCTAAGTAAAAGAGAACATTATGTCTCAAACACTTTGTAAGGCTCCTATTATTGATCTCAACAAATTAGAGAAATCAAAGCGAGGTTCAAATTCTTGGCTAGAATTGTGCAATGGCGTTCGCCTTGCACTTGAAGATCATGGTTATTTTATAGCACTATATGATAAGGTTTCTTCTGAAGTTGAGAAGGAAATATTTGATGTAATGGATGAGTTGTTTGATCTGCCCATTGAAACAAAGAAGAAGAACTCTTCTGACTTTTATTTCTATCGATGGGTTGGTCAGCTGGAGGCAGCTCCTCTTCATGAAAGCTTTGGGATTGTATATCCAACTCATATTCAAGCACTACAAAGCTTTACCACACTCATGTGGCCACAAGGCAACCAAAGATTTAGGTAACAGCAAATATATAGTTACTTTGTCCTAATTTTCTTCTAGTTTGACTTGACATAAATTAAAATTAAAAAGATTTAACTATTTGCAGAGATCATATTTAACCTAAATACCGTCCGCAACAAGCTAATTAAGTCATTTCAATAACAAAGCAGATAATAATTATTACGAATATCCAGTTTATCTTATGTGCGGACTGTACATAGAGCTTTTATACGATGAGTTATATATACAATCAAAGATGCATGTATTATGTATACTTGCCATTAGCACCAAACACATCAACCAAAATTTAGAACTAAAGAAGAAAATTAGCTGTTTCGTATTCTAGGCAAAGACGTACTATCTATGTTTTGTTATGTAGAGGCTCTTTTAATAAAATGTAATCTTTGTAAATTTTCAGTTATTTTTCCGGTAATGATGAATGAAATAACTTATGAATAATCTGATGAATATGTTAGTAATATTTATGATTGTTAGAACAAAATGATATTTATATAATCAATCACAACTACTTTGTCAGTTTGGGCACATATAAAGTACTCTATATTATTAACTTCAAAAATAGTTTTTGAATTGTTTTGTTTTCTTTTTTCCATTGTTTTGGGGGGGGTTAGTGAAACAGTAACATCGTACGTAAAGGTAGCAGCAGAACTAGAACAGTTGGTGGACAAAATGGTGTTCGAAAGCTATGGAGTAGCAGAAAGGCACTATGAATCTCATATAGCAGCCACTACATATCTCCTCCGTCCTACAAAGTACGCAGCGCCACCACCGTCCAATATTAATAATGTAGGTGCAAATATACACACTGACAAGAGCTTCTCCACACTGCTCTTTCAGAATCAGATTAATGGTTTGCAAGTTGAAAGTAAAAGTGGTGATTGGATTGCTGTTAATGTCCCTCCTTCTGCATTCGTCTTCATGGCTGGTGATGCTTATGAGGTCTATCTGTTTATTTCTTCTTGAGTTTTAACTTTCATATGACTACTTAATATTCACCAATGTATGTGTGTTTTGTTGTGGAATAGGCATGGAGCAATGGAAGAATATATGCACCGCGGCACCAAGTGTTGCTGAAAGAGGAAAAGCAAAGGTACACATTGGCCCTGTTCACATTCAACAAAGGAATAACAGATATACCTGAGGAATTAGTGGATGAAACACATCCTTTACAATACAAGCCTTTCGATAATTTTGGATTAGCTTGGTACTACCTCTCTGGTGCTAACTCCATGATTCACAGCACTGCTAAAGCTTACTGCGGCATCAATACTACTGCATCCATCGCTTGAATTTCATCTCTATAACGAAGTCCTTAATGGCATCAACATATATATATTTATATATATAGATTAGATAGCTTCAAAAAAGTTCTTCATATGGAAAAAGAAGGTAGGTAAAATCTGTGACAAATCATAAATAAATGTTTGCTGACGTGTAATCAAATTTACGCCAGTGGTTCTACACCAGCCGAGTGATTATCGACAAGTGACAAAGGGTAATTGATGCACAATGTTTCAGATAATAATTTCATTGAAAATACAACAAAAAAATATTTACAAGTAACCTATTACGGTTGTTTTGCCAAAACAAATGCCAGATACCAAACTATTGATTAGCTTGTATAACAACCTGAAAGTTGCTTTGACCATAGTTAACGGTCTGAAAAACATAAACCTCCATCAAGGAGATCTCCACATCATATTATCATTGCTTAACTCAACTCACACCTAGACTAAAAGGATACAGGTATTCTAACTGTTGACATCTAGAATGTCACAGGCTGACCAACTTCATACGGCATAAGGTTAATCTACACTAACCGGATTTTTTCCAGATGTGTCCATTGCATATGGAGCACTGATACTGTCCATCTCTTAGCTCTGTGCTGAACGCCGGAAATAATACCTGAACACATGAAATAGGAATTATGCTTAGGTGAATGCTTGTTCTTGGTTTAAAACTGCAGTAGCTGTTATTTCACACTTTAACCAACTAGAAAGGGGAATTTGGCTTCTTTTTATTTTCCCTTCTTTTTTCCTCCTTTTTCCTTCTTCTTATGTACATGCTAAAAACACAAACATCCAATGAATACAGAATCTACCATAATCCTTCAACAACCAACTTTGCTAGATCATATACAAGCACTGATGCACATGTACAACTAGATTAGATGTGTGAGCACACAGAAACACAACAAATTGAAGGAACTTACACAAAGATATTTATGCCGTAGAGAGCAGCATGCTTCCGCAGCAGACGTTCAATTGTATACCATTCTGACCTGTCAGAACCATCCTGATAACCAATTCTTGGCATGTGGATTGATGCTTCAAATATCAAAAAGTATAAATAAACGATTAGGATATTGTGCCGGCAGAAAACAAGAAGTCACCATCAATGATAAGATTTGAGCAATGTTCTTCCAAATGTAAACATGATAATAGCTGGACATCCACCATGTTATAGCCAAGGAAACTTCTGAACAGATACATTTGGCAGGTACAATAACCTGGTAATATTCAAATAATTACAGAAATTTCTTGTATTTGTTTTTACTAAGAGCTGGTATAGGCACAGAACTACCTGGCACATTGCACATTATGTACCCCCCACATCCCACAAGGCCGCAACCATTCTTGACTAGGGATAACAAGTAGCATATCACTTTGGTGAAAGTTTTTCCGTACAACCATTTCCATAATACACTAGTTCTACATATATGTACAAGTCGTTGCAGTATAATCTGACTAATGTTTACTCTAATTTTGGTAGATACTAGTATACTTGGAGAAGTTACTAATATTTAATAATACAATTTCTGCTGTTCTGAGATTATTAATTATTAGGGTTATTACATCGGTCTACTTGTTTCATATGGTTCCAACAAGCAGGAAACTAACATCATTAGATTGATGTGTGCTCGACTTTCCTTTGTTCTCTTAGATGAATATCTGTTTCACTCCATTCTTGTATATGAAAGCACCTAAATCCATTTTGTAAACATTTCAAAAACACCCAATATCCATTTCAGCAGCTCCAATATCAATCTCAGTTTTTTGCACTTATTTCACTTGTTTAAGAAGCAAATGAAAATTTAGTATTTAAACTCCCACCTGGCTGTAATTCCTTGTCCATAATTCTACACACCTCAACAGTAGAAAGTATATGACCAATTTCTCTCCTAATTTGCTTAAATGATAAATGATTTAGTCTCGGAAGGAAATGTGCATGAACAAGAGAAGTACACATACGGAAAATTCATATTGCCGACCTCACTAACTTGAATTGAGGAATAGTTAACTGATTGATATATACTGATTGATATATCTGTACCAAAGGAGATCGTTATAACTATATTCGAGGAGATGCAACAAAGCGTTTGGACCATTATGAAATGTCTTCAAGAATGCCTAATGGCATGGCCAAAACCAATGATCATAAGCTATATAAACACAATCCTGAATGTAACTTCCCATGGAACATGCGGTATATGAGACGTATATTATCTCCGTTCTTAACCTAAACTCATGTTAAACTTCGTCTCAGAATCTCGTAGCATTTTGAGTAAAGCGCTCGAAGTTGGGACATCTCTTGGAGCAAAGAGAAGCATCAGGAACGTCCCTTCAGGGACATCCAACTTAAAAAAAAGAAAGAGAAAGAGAAGCACTGGGAACTGCCAACTTCAAGACGGAAAAAAGAAATTTCTACTTTTAAAGGCACCCATACTAGAGCGCCTCCTTTTCTCTCTTCCCATTCAAGCTGTCGTTACACTGTTCTAGTAAGCTCCCAGAATATCTCAAATACTAAATTTATACTTGAGCAAAGATTGAAAAATAGGAACCCAACTGCAGACCATACAAAAACAAAGAGAACGCAAACCACAAGTAGAACAGAAGAAATTTCTCTAGAAGCATGAAAATTGAATGTACCAGACTTTTGAGCAGCTGAATATGATGCTTTTGATAGACAATGCTCCAAATCAGGGATGGAGATACTGCCACGTGGGACTTTGCGCCTAGGATTGTAGGACTGCACAACAGCCAAAGCTACCCATTGAGGAGCATGAGGTGAATCACTGCCACTAGTGAGATCCTCTACATAACAATGATTATGTGGAGATTAGGAAAAAAAACTAATTAAAGATAAAGCCTAAGACAAATAAAGAAGATTGAAAAAAGTAAGTGACCAGGGAATGGAGAGCACAGAAAAGAAAAGAAAAGAAAAATACAGCACCAGTAATCTTGAGCAATCTTATTTTCCCATCTAAAGAATTTAGCAGTTGTATTAGGTGTACTGCATGCGGCAATAAACAACTCCTGGAAACCACCAATCAAGTGCATCCCATGCAGATCTATCATTTCTTTCTTTCTTTTCCGCTAATTTGGACTTTTATTTATTTCTCATCTCAGCAGAAGACAAGAAGGTCTTCTGTTAAAAGCAACTCCAAGAAAACTTCCACTAAGACCAGCGTGAACCCTCAGCTTTTCTATCAATATAGTGTGCATATCTACTACCATAACATCTTATATACTTCCAGCCAGTCCTAATTGACAAGTCGAGACATGCCAAGTTATGCAAACATTGCATGATTTCAAACTGATGTCATGGTTGACTTGACTATGGATGCAGATATTGAGTTACAGCAGTTATACAGATATGTATGCAAAATGATACTATTGAACTCCATCACAGAAAGGAATCTTCTGACATGAACTGGATGGAGGCTATAAAGTGGAAGAAATGCATGTACACGCTCATAATATCAAGTACACCTGAATAACACAAGTCAGTCAGTTCCTTAATTAGCTTAGAGGAGTAACAAGTATAGGACAAGTTTAAAAACCTCGATTGTCAGCGCTAGTGATGTCAGGGAAAACAAGCACATGATTTTACAAAGAAACCAAATTTACCTGTAATCTCTATAAGATGGAGATCACCTAGATGAAGATCATGAAATTCAGAAGCTCGCTCATATGTAGCGGGTACACTAGTTGATAGTCTCGCCAATGCATCAAACATACCCCCATGACCCCAGCTTCCGGATGTATCAACGCAGCTGCCAAGAAATATTGATAAGAAATACATGCAGTATAAATGAATTTTTTGCCCGGCTTGGAGTGCTTTTAAGCATTTATCAGATACAGGTGCCCTCTATTAAGTAATTATTTAGTTACTTACAAATATTCCCAAACCATTCAACAATGGCAACTTGCAAGGAAGAGCAAGAATTCAAAGGAAATTGCAGTTACCATGGAATCCTCTCTGTCATTGAAAAAAATATACGAATATACCAAGCAAGCAAGAAAAGAATTTTTGGAAAAGAAAAAGGAAAGAATTTGAACCAAGAGAGCAAACAAGATTTCACAACAAAGTTTCAAGAGAAGCTAAATACTTGTGCAAAAGCTGCAAGAAGCATCACAAGCTTGACAAAGAAAGGTATGATTTCACTGAGAGCATATAAACCTGAATATAATGGTCGGCTCTGATGGAGACACTTTAGAAGGATGAGTGCAGTCCCCATAAACAAAATGAACAGCGCCGGAATCTGAGGAGATATCAGTATCCGGAGCTGATACAGGATATCTGACAGATAACGAGTGGTATCCAAGAGCTTCCCACTTTGACAACTTCTCCTCCTCTTCCTTTCTCTTTGTTGCTTCAGTTTTTAGATGCTTTTTCTCAGGCAAGCTTCTCCTACTCCCAAGCTCGAAAATTGGACCATGGTTGGCCTGTGATGCTTCCTTGAATTTCTCAACCCATGCGAGATATGAAGCTTCATCAAGACGAGGATCAAGCTTAATAGATTCTGGACCCCTTTTTGTGACAACATTGAACTCACTTAACCTGTCAACTGGCTTTACCTCAAACTCATCTTTAGCAGAACGTTCTTCATTGCGAAATCCAATAATCGTTTCTGCCATTGCAGTCAACTCAGTCCTATCAAATTCATCTGATTCCTCATTGGTTATTTCTGCAGGATCTAGCATATGCAATCCAAGTATAACAGATCGCAAGTCACCAGCTTCAGCACCTGCCATCTCTTTCCCTTCCTGATCCAAGACATCATCTCCTACAATATTCTGGCTAAGCTGTAATTTCCGTTGCGCTCTACGCATAATGACCTACACAGTTAGAACCTTCATTTAGAGGAACTAAACATCAACTTCGAGATAGTTTACAATCTTCTTCTTACCTCCTCCACCGTCTGCTCTGTGACTAGATTTATAGATAACACATGGTTTGTTTGACCAATTCGGTGAGCACGCTGCAAGGCCTGCCTGTC